CCCAGGCGCCAGGTGGGTCCGCCGGGGGCAGCCGGGGCGGGGCGGCCGGCGAGGGCCTCCGGGGCCTGATGTTCGAGTGCGGGCTCTGCATCCACTCGCAGTGTGTTTGCGGGGCTCGGGTGCCCCTTGATTTCAGAGGGAGGAGACTGAGAGACGAGGGCAGTGACCTGGGGTCCCCCAGAAGTGCCTGTCCCATCCGACTCTGCTGTGTGATCTTAGCCCGGTAACCTGTTGCTGTCCAGTGATTCCAGCTGATAGTGGATCCTGTGGGACGGAGTAAACTGTCCCATAGGGTTTCCTAGGCTGTAATCTTTATGGGAGCAGATCGCCAGGTCTTTTTTCTGGTGGAGGGACTGGGGTGCCAACTACCTGCCTTTAGGTTAGCAGCCCAGCGCTTAACCACCGCACCACCAGGGCTCATAGACAAGCTGCTAAACCTCTCTGGGCTTCGGACCCCTTACCTGTGGCATTTCCAGTGGGTTTGGGCTCTGTGCTGTCGGAGGGGCCCAGCTCAGCCAGGGGGCTTCGGATTTTGCCCTCTGGTTGTCTGTTCCTGCTTCTGTTGCTCCCTTGCTGTGTGGGCTCCCTAGCCTTTCTGAGCCCCAGCTTCCTTATCTGCATTCATTCATGAATGCATTCATTCATTCCTACATTCATTCATTCATGCTTAGCAGTAAAATTTTGCTGAGCTCCTTCTCCTGAAGCTTAGATTCCACAGGGATGTGTAGGACAGACCCTGCCCTCACCCGCTTGAGGTTCACAGCCTCACGTTACAAGTAAACATTTGGTTAGAACACAGCCTGGTTAGTTCTGTAATGGGGAAATGACAATGCTAGCTAGCATTTATGGAGCACTGACTCTGTGCTGGGCACAGGGCTAGAGCCTCTGCACGAGTTATCTCATTGAATCTCACAGCAGCTTACTGAGCCAGTTCCACCAATGTCCCCATTTTACAGACGAGGAGACTGAGGCACAGAGAAGTTAAGTAACTTGCCAGAATGGCAGCTGTGTATCTGCCCAAAGCCCAGGCTCCTCCTAACCACCGTGTTGCACGGGGAGGGGTTCTGACGTGGATGGGGCGGGGGCAGGGATGGCTGCCCGGAGGAGATGATGGATCCTTCACGTGGCGCTTGTTGTCAGAAAATTGGATGCTGCGTGGCAATGCCTGGAATATGGCAGGCGTTCGATAAATCATGGTCCAAACCCACTGCCATTGAGTCGATTCTGACTCATGGTGTCTTAGGCTGGGTTCTCTAGAGAAGCAAAACCAGTAAAGCGTATAAATATATATATAGAGAGAGAGACATCAAGGAATCAGCTCACGTGATTGTAGAGGCTAGAACATCCCAAGTCCGTGGATCAGGGTAGAGGCCTCTCCCAAGTCACACAGCTGCAGAAGCTGGCAAGCCCAAGATCGGCAGGTCAGAGAGCAGGGCTTCCGCTTACAGGCTGCGCAGATTGATGAATCCCAGGTTTGGCAGATAAGCTGACAGCTCAAGTCCAAAGAATGGGAGATGAGACGACAGGAAGCAGCTGCAGGATCCAGAGAGAGCAAAAAGCCAGAACATCTGCTTATATACAGATGCAGGCCACACCCCCTAAGAGACTCCCTTTTATCTGATTGGCTACTCACAGTATATTCAATCATGGGAGTGATTACATTAAAACATGGAGAATCATGGCCCAGCCAAGTTGACACGCAATCTTAACCATCACACATAGCGACCCTATAGGACAGAGTAGAACTGCCCCATAGGGTTTCCAATCCAAGGCTGTCATCTTTACCGAAGCAGACTGCCACATCTTTCTCCTCTGGAGCAGCTGGTGGGTTGGAGCTGAGTGCTTAACCACGGCACCACCAGGGCTCCTGGATAAATTGTGGTAGGATCATTCTTTTAGGTGTTTGCATTGTTGACTTTGTGAGATCAACCTGGGAGTATCTGAGAGAAGCTGGCGTGGTCTTGTTCCCCCAAACCCTGGCCCACATGACAGACAGTCCAGTAGGTGTGGGCACTGGCTCTTTCAGCCTGCAGGTAACCTTTGGGGGAGTGTTTTGCTGCAAAGGGGTGATCATGGTGGACATGTATTTATTTATCCTCACTCCAAGCCTAGAGGTTATTTTTCATCCATAAATGGTGAGGCTGAGATTTGAGCCCAAGTCTGCCTGAACCCCAAAGCCAGGGTTTTAATCATCTGTAATCTGGTGAGGTGGGGGTTGTTGTTAGATGCCATCAAGTTGGTTGCCACTCATGTACAACAGAACAAAACGCTGCCCAGTCCTGCGCCATCTTCACAATCGTTGCTGTGCTTGGGCCCATTATTGCAGCCATTGTGCCAATCCATCTCGTTGAGGGTCTTCCTCTTTTTCGCTGACCCTCTACTTTACCAAGCATGATGTCCTTCTCCAGGGACTGCTCCCTCCTGATAACATGTCCTAAGTATGTGAGACATAGTCTCGCTGTCCTCACTTCTGAGGAGCATTCTGGCTGTACTTCTTCCAAGACAGATTTGTTCGTTCTTCTGGTAGTCCGTGGTATATTCAGTATTCTTCGCCAACACCATAATTCAAAGGTGAAGGGTTAGCACTCTGATTTCGCAGCTGAGTAAGCTGAGGCTCAGCGGGGTTAACCAAGTTGTCTAGGCTCTCAAAGCTGCTCAGTGACGAGCTACACTAGTCCCTGCTGGGGTGATGGGGACTCACACCCAGTTGGTCACCCCTGAGGGGGCTCTGGCTCAAGGGCAGGGCTGACAGGATTTTCTGATGGCTTGAATGTGACCTTTGCAGCCACTCCTTTCTAATGGGGCTCCTTTCCTCCTGTCTCCTCCCCTCCTCTCTGTTTCTAAAATGCACATCTGACAATGTGACTTTCCTGATCAAAAACCTCCAGAGACTCCCAGTTGCCTACAAAGGACCGAGTCCAAATTTCCTAGCATGGTGCCTAAGGCAGCTCACCTTGCCAGGGGCATCCTGCCCCATGCACAGATAGACGTGTGCTGCACACTGCTCTCCAGCCACACAGGACGTCGGTTCCCCAGATGCCGCTGTGCTTCTGCACACATGTTCTCTGCCGCGGTGACGTGTCTCTGCCTCTTCTCCTGCTCATTTTCTCAGACCCAGAGAGAAGACCCCTGGGGGAGCCTTCTCAGCCCCTCCAGTCTCCATCGGGCACTTCCTCCTCTATGTTTCAGGGCATTCTTCCTTCTCTTGCTCGGGTCCAAATCACACACTCGTCATTTTATCTTGCAACACTTGCCTTTCATCATTTTTGTTTTATTTTGATTATTATTCTTTTTTATTTATTTAGCTCATCATTTGAAAGTGTTTCTTTGCGTCAGAAATATACATGTACATCATTTAAAGTGTTCCTTTACAAGGTTTGCTAAAAAATAAAACACACACACAAACACCAATACGCCTACCCATTCTTCACTCCCTAGAGGCCACGCCCTTGTTCAGCTCTCAGCTAATGATTCTGACTCATAGCGACCATTTGTGACAGAATAGAACTGCCCTATAGTGGGGTTTCCTAGGCTGTAATCTTTACGAGATTGGAGCCCTGGTGGTGCAGTGGTTAAGAGCCCGGCTGCTAACCAAAATGTCGGCAGTTGGAATCCACCAGCTGGTCCTTGGAAACATTATGGGGCAGTTCTGTTCAGTCCTGTAGGGTCGCTATGAGTCGGAATCGACTTGACAGCAGTGGGTTTAATCTTTATGAGAGCAGATCACCAGGACTTTCTCCCTTGGAGCCTCCGGTGGGTTCGAACTGCAGACCTTTCGGTTAGCAGATGAGCACTTAACCACTGAGCCACCAGGATTCACTCATATTTCTAAATAATTTGCTTACATTGTTGCTGTTTTTGCATTTTTTGCCTTTAGGCAATACCCCTTGACTTACCACTATGGAAGGGGAGGATTTCCCTCTCTTTCCTCCCCTCCTTCATACATGTACCCTCCCCTCTACCACTCCCCTCCCCCTCCCTTTGTGGTTAGAGAATAATTTTGGTTAAATTAGTAGTCACTGTTTCCATTATTACAATTCAGTAAACATTATAAACTGCAAGTCAGATACTAATTATGGTTATAATTATTTTCCTTTCTTGCTCAACATTTCTTTTGCCCGAAAATTAAGTTGTCCAGTTTTTTGGGTTTTGTTTTTGTTTTGTCCTGTTCTGTTTTTTTACTTAGATTCTATATACTTAGCGTTCATTTGGAGTTCCTGGGTGGTGCAAACAGTTAACACGCTCCACTGCTAACTGAAAGGTTGAAGCTCAAGTCTACCCAGAGGCACCTCAGAAAAAAGGCCTGGCAGTCTACTTCTAAAAAATCAGCCATTGAAAACTTTACGGAGTACAGTTGTACCCTGACACACATTGGGTCACCATGAGTCAGAGTTCGCTTGACGGCAACTGCTATCATTCATTTACCACCAGACTCTACCCCGTTTATGTACATTGCCTTTCAGTACATCTCAGTATTTGATATTTGATCAATCTTATCATCTTGAAAAAAAATCTCTCCTAGTACCTTCTCACCTTCCCAGCCTTCCCAGACCGTGGATACTTAAAGTGTGGCTTGACTGGCAGCATTAGCATCACCATAAACTTGTTAGAAATGCAAATTCTTGCACTCCACCCCAAGCTTACTGAATCAGACTCTCTAGAGCAGCTGTGCTTATTAGCAAGCCTTCCTGGGAATTTCTGTGATCTTCAAAGTTTGACAAGAGCTACTCTAGGCTTTCGCTGTCAGCGTTGAGATCCCTCAGGACCATCGTGATGAAACTTCCTTATCTCTCTCCCGGGTTGGACCCTGTGTTTTGGGAATCCGTGCACTTGTCTTTCTTGGACAACTTCCTCACACAGATGGAGCACATCCTGCAGTAGCTTTCTGAGAAAGGGATGGATGCAACTTTTTTGAGAATTTGTATGTCTGAAAGGCAGCATCATTAATCAAACGTTGGATGGATAAAGGAGTGTCTTTGTGCCCCTTACACCTCACAAAGCCTCCTGCCCCCTCCCCTCTGAATCCCCCTGCAGTGAGCACGCAGTGGAGCCCCAACTAGACTCAGCTTTGCATGATTCAATCGGTGACTTTTCTGCTTCACTGTCCTTCATTTCTGGACACCTCCACTGGGCCAGGGACATGCGAGGCACAGGGAGACAGATATGAAGATGTGTGGTGCACCCTCACACACTCACCCAGGAGTAGGAGTTTCCTTTAATTATGCAGTGAACATTTCCTAAACTACTTCTGTCTTTGAGGAGCCCTGGTTGTGCAGTGTTTAAGCGCTTGGCTGCTAACCGAAAGGTCAACAGTTTGAACCCACCAGCCCTTCTGCAGGAGAAAGATATGGCAGACTGCTTCTGTAAAGCTTACAGCCTTGGAAACCCTATGCGGCAGTTGTACTCTGTCCTATAGAGTCACTATGATTCAGAATTGACTTGATGGCAATGGGTTCTTCTGTCTTTGGTATCTGGGGAATCCTGGATGGAGAACAGAGTCAGGGGCAGAGCAGGAGGTTCACCAGGAAGGATGAATCAGGATCAGAAAGTACATGTGTACCTCAAAAGAACCTCAAAGATGAGGAGTGGTCTTCTGATTTCCCCCAGCAGGTCCCTTGTTCAACTGGTCACAGACTTCCTTCTTCTCAGATTAATGGGAAATTCACACCCACTGTTCAGCTGCACTGTGGGGTTAAGATCAGAGGTCTGCAGAAGAGTTTTGTTGCAGGAGACACAGTAGGGAACACATTCACTGAGCACCTATCATGGGGCGGGTGGCATATAGGATCTCTTAATTAAACCCATCCTTCCATCTGATATTAGTGGAGATATTAGCACCCTCATTTTCCAGATGGAGAAATAGGCTCAAAGAGCTTCAGGGACTTTAAACATAGACTACTGAAACATCGTCAGCTGCCGCTGAGTCGATTTCATGTGAGTCAGAGTAGAACTGTGCTCCAAAGGGTTTTAATGGTTGATTTTTCAGAAATAGCTCACCAGACATTTCTTCTGAGGTCCCTCTGGGCAGACTCAAACCCCCAATGTTTCGGTTAGTGGCATATTTAAACATGTTGCTGTTGTGTACCATTAAGTTGGTTCTGATTCATAGCAACCCTGTAGGACAGAGTAGAACTGCCCCATGGGGTTTCCAAGGTTGTAGACTTTATGGAAGCTGACTGCCACTTCTGTCTCCCAGAGAGCGGCTGGTAAGTTTGAGTAGGCGAGCGCTCACAGAGATATCTAAAACTTAGACTTTATGTTTTAGAGCAGTTTTAGGTTTACAGCAAAATTGCGCAGAAAGTACGGAGGGTTCCCATATGTCTTCTCTGCCCCTTGCCCACAGTTTCGCTTGTTATCAACACCCTGCGCTCCTGTGGTGCCTTTATGACAACTGATGAACCACCACTGATACGTTATTACTAACTAAAGTCCAGGGTTCACATTACATTGCATCACTCTTGTGTTGTACAGTCCTACGTGTTTTGACAAATGCGTATTGTCGTGTGTCCACCATGACAGTATCATGCAGAATAGTTTAACTGCCCTAAAAATGCACTGTGTTCCACCTTGTCATCCCTTTCCACTTCCCCTGAGCCCCTGGCAGCCACTGATCTTTGTACCATCTCTGTCGTTTTGTCTTTTAAGGCGGAGAGTGTGTAAGATCAGTGGTGTCACCACTGTCTGGCCGTTCAGATCGAAACCTTGGACTCATCCCCAACTCCTCGCTTTCTCCCCGACCCCCTCGGCATCCCATCTGATAGGAGATCGTTTTGGTTCTGTTGTCGAAGTATACGCAGGGCTGGCTCTTTGTTTCCACCCCGGCTCACACCCTGCTCTCCGCTGCCACTTCCCTCCTAACAGACCTCCTGCTCTGCCTCTGACTCTGTTCTCCATCCAGCACTCCACGTGGTCCTTCCACAGCACATGTCTGATTAGTCAGATCATGCCGCCTCTCTGCTCACCATGTTCTGCAGGCTTCCCTTCGAACTCAGAGTCGAATGCAAAGTCTTCTCATGGCCTAGGAGGCGTTGCATGATCTAGTCCCTGCCATGGCTCCAGCCCCATCGTCTACCCTCTGTGCCTGACAGCCCCCACAAGGGCCTCTCTGCACATGCTGAATATGTGCGTGCCTCAGGGCCTTTGCACTCTCCCAGGAATGCTCTTCCCTGAAATATCTCACTGGCTTGCTCCCTGCCTTTCTTCAAGTTTCTTCCCAAATCCAACTTATCCAATCCACCTTCCCCTCCCATCCCTCTCCACCCCCATCATCTGTTATTTTTCTATAACACTCATCACCCCAGCATACCATATTGGTTTGCTTACGTTTCTCTTCTCTAAGCCAGAATCTACTTGATAGCAATGGGTTTTCTGTCACTAGACCGGACACTCCATGAGGGCAGGGACTTTGTATATTTTGATCATCACTTTGTTCCCACTGCCTAAAACAAGCAATGGCACATGTTGTTGTTGTTGGGTGCCATCGAGTCGATTTTGACTCATAGTGACCCTATAGGACAGAGTAGAACTGCCCTATAGGGTTTCCTATGTTGTAATCTTTACAGGAGCAGATCGCCAGGTCTTTTCTCCCATAGAGTGACTCATGGATTCCAACTGCCAACCTTTTGGTTACCAGTAGAGTGCTTAACCATTGTGCCACCAGGGCTCCTTGGCACACAGTAAATGCTCAGTAATTACTGACTGTTTCGGTGACAAACTGGTGGTTTCTGTCCTGTATCAAAGGTTATATCTGTAAACAGCTAGTGGTCAGAGGGGTTTGATGAATGTCTCTGGTGTAAGAGTTTAAGTTCTTCACAGTAGAAACCACTGTATAATTTAAGAGTTTTTCGTTTTGTTTTGTTTTTGCCATCGAATCAATTCTGACTCACGGCAAGCCCACGTGTGTCAGAGTAGAATTCTGCTCCGTAGGTTTTTAGTGGCTGATTTTTTGGCAGTAGATTGCCAGGCCTTTCTTTGGAGGCACTGCTGGGTACACTCAAACTTCCAGCCCTTTGGTTAGCAGCTGAGCATGTTAACCATTTGCACTAACAACAGTGACTAACAACAAGGTATTTCCTTAAGGATACATACACACACACGTATACACACACACACACATACACACACATACATACACACACACATACACACACACACAAACATACACACACATACATACATACACATACACACACGTACATACACACATGCATACACACATACACACACGCACACACATACATACACACATATACACACATACACACACACATATACATACACACACATACACACACACATGCATACACACACACATACATACATACACAAACATACACACACACACATACATACATACACATGCACACACATACATACACACATGCATACACACATACACACACGCACACACATACATACACGCCTACATACATACCAGTTGCTGTTAAATCAGTTCTGACTCATGGTAACCCCCTGTGTGTCAGAGTAGAACTGTGCTGCATAGGGTTTTCAATGACTGATTTTTCAGAAGCTCATCACCAGGCGTTTCTTTCAAGGCCCCTGTGGCTGGATTTGAACCACCTCTCAGTTAATAGCCAAGTGCTTAACCATTTGTGCCACCCAGGGACTCCTTTCCTTAAGAATAATCCAGTGAAATTACGGAAGATGAGAGGAGACGTAGTATATATGTGCCGTTTCCTTTGCTAAGCCATTGTTACCCTCCAGGGGCTCACAGTCTAATGGCGGCCACAGAGCCAACAGAAAAGTAGAAAGAACTCTGCTCTAACTCTTTGCTCCAAGTCCCGAGGGTGCATTGAGACGGGGCAGCTCCCGTCTTTGGGGGCATCAGGGCAGGCTTCTGAGGAGGGAGACATCTGAACAGTCTTAAAGGGTGTGTCGCAGCTTCAGGTGGGCATGGGAGGAGGGCATTGCAGACACAGGACCGCATGTGCAAAGGCTGAGGGGTGAGCAGAAGGGACAGAGGCGGAGAGCTGAGGACTAAGCCACAGGAGGGTGCCAGGCGGACTGACTTCAGTGCTGTGCCCCCCCCCCCACCTTTCGATTTTAGAAAGACGACGCTCAGGGTCTGCTCAAGGACCTGGAGTCTGGTGTGCAGACTCCCTCAGGAACAGGCACCCCGTCAAGGAGGAGGAAGAGGAGGGACGCACAGACGTCCAAGGATGTGGGGGTGCTGGAGGTAAGCTCTCTGCATGCACTCTTCTGCCAGAGTGCAAGGTGGGTGTCCAGTGTCTCACCTGGCAGCACAGCTGTCATCCAGAGGAGCCTCTGACAGGTACTTTTTCCCAACAGCCTTCTTCTTTTTTTTCAAACATTTAAAAAAAAATAATTTATTTTATTTTGTTGTTATTGTTGAGAATATATAAAGCAAAAGCACACACCAATTCAAGTTTCTACATGTACAATCCCGTAACATTGATTGCATTCTTCAAGTCGTGCAACCATTCTCACACGCCTTTTCTGAGTTGTTCCTTCCCCATTAACATAAACTCACTGCTCCCTAAGAATTCTGTCTTAGTCATCTAGTGCTGCTATAACAGAAATACCACAAGTGGATGGCTTCAACAATCAGAAGTTCAGTGTTTCACAGTCTAGTAGGCTGGAAGTCCAAATTCAGGGCATCAGCTCAGGGGAAGGCTTGCTTTCTCAGTTGGTTCTGGAGGAAGGTCCTTGTCATCAATCTTCCCCTGGAATAGAAGCTTCTCAGCACAGGGACCCTAGGTCCAAAGGACGTGCTCTCTCCTGGCACTGCTTTCTTGATAGTATAAGGTCCCAATGTCTCTCTGCTTGCTTATCTCTTTTCTATCTCAAAAGAGATTGGCTTAAATTGTAGATTAATTTTGTGGGTTGAGTCTACATGTTGTTGTTGTTGTTAACACCATAGAAATAGGATTTACGACACGTAGGAAAATCACATCAGATGACAAAATGGTGGCCAATGACACAGTACTGGGAATCATAACCTAGCCAAGTTGACAGGTATTTTTGGAGGACACAGTTCAATCCATGACAGTTCCTGTCTAATCTTTTGAGTTGCTGTTATTGCTTTGATCCCATATAGATAGTTCTTAATGAGCATAATGCTCAAGGCAGGCCTTTTTTACTAGTTAAGCTGGACTACTGTTTGCTTTTCAGAAGACTTCAGGTGGGAGGCATGGTCAACATGGCAGACTACTTAGACGCTTCCTATACCCCTCTTACAACAAAGACCTGGAAAAACAAGTGATTTGATTCTATGTGAACATCTGGCAGCCCTGAACAAGGCAAGGTTAAGAAATACACCTGAGTTATACCGGAGAGGAAGACTGTTTGGAAGAGGTGAGAAGCACTAGAGCCACGGTGGTGACACAGCAGAGACACAGCCACGCTGGACCGCAGTGAAGCAGGGAAACAGCTGTGCTGTGCGCGCTTGAGAAGCGGTTTCAACGTCGAGAGAGACCTGGCAGCAGAGATTCTGCTTGGACACTCCGAACCAGTGAAGAGCAGCTCCCAAGAGGCTAGGATGAGTACCTGCGTGCACCCTTTCGTGGCGAGCTAAAAAAAAAAAAAAGAAGCCCATTTGGGAAAAACCTCTCTCCCTTTTACCTCCTACCTCCACGCTCTCCACCAGATTTGGGAAAAACCTCTCTTCCTTTTACCACCTCCCTCCCCGCTCTGCACCAGGAGTCCACTAGCCCGGAAATAGATCCCAAAAGGCGCCCTGACCCATTCTCCTGGCCTTGGAGAGGGAACAAATAAGCTGCTGGCTCCCCTAGGCCAGGAACACAGG